TTTTTTTTTTTGTGTGGTACTGGGGATCGAACTCATGACCTCGTGCTTGCCAGGCAGGCACTTACACCCCTGAGCCATATCCCCAGCAAGCCTGGGCAATTTAGCCACTTAATGAGACCTGTCTTAAAGAAAAGTGGGGGAAGGTTGGGGATGTCACTCAGTTTGAAGACCCTGGATTAAATCTTCAGTAATACAAAGAAATAATCAAAATAAGCTAAAATAAGGCTGGGGTATAGCTCATCAGTAGAGCACTTGCCTAGAATTCATGGGACCCTGAGTTCAATCCCCAGTACCACAAAGGGGGTGGGAGGTACTAAAAATGGAACCTTAATAAAATCCTAAAATAATCTATAAAGAGCATTTAGGGGACAGTTGGGGAAAATACCAGGACTTAGATACAGACGATACCAGAGGGTCTCTGATTTGTGTGGGTGCGGCAGTGGGTTAGGGTTTGTAAAAGAGTGTTCTTACTGCCGTGAGGCTCATACTGGAGTATTAGGGATGAAGTATCTATAGCTGAATTGTACATGGCGGAAAGTGGATTTGTTTTAAGGGGGACATGCACAGAAATGTGACAAATTATTATTAATAATGTCAAATCTAGATAAAAGGTGCTTGAGTATTCACTGTACTGTTTTTCTGACTTGTCTATATACAATTTCTCCAAGTTTGAAGGGAAAAGAAAAGGGTAAACAGAAGCAAAGGAAATTAAAATAAACAGACTTTGAGGGTCATGTTGCACAGAGATGGAGTACTGGAGGGAGGTGTGAGATTTTTGGTTTTTGAGAGTGCAGAAGGACTCAGTTGTAACTTTTACTTACATGCTAAAATCTAGGTCCTTTAACTAGGGAGTTGATTATTATTTCTAATAATTCATCCAAAAATAAATTGTTAAAACAAGTAATCATAGTCTTACATTATTTAATGTCTTTTTTTTTTCCTGCTTAAATAGCAATATTTTTTGACTTGTTTTCTGCAGGTTGTAGGAAGTGTCCTGTATTTTACTAATTTTTGCCTTGATAAATTGGGGCAACCGCTTCTAAATGAAAACCCTCAGCTTACGGAAGGATGGGAAATACCCAAGTATCCTACATAGTGAATGAAGATCTTTTATGCATCTTGCCACTAAGTTCACCTTTTAAAAAAGTTTACCAAATTTTGCAGACTATGATAACTATTCCTTAATAAAACTCACTAAAGGTACCAGCAAGTCTTCAGCCACATTGTTTCTCTAGAAGGGCAAGAGATACAAGTAAAGGCAAAAAGGTTTGTGTGGGGAGTCGTTTTATTCTTTTTGTTTTTTTGAATACCCAAAACCATAAACTCCTTTAGCCTGAAAAGTTAATATTCCTTACTGCTGGTTTATGCTAAAGTAAATTACAGACTGAGCTGAAATGCCAATGTGTGGACATACGTTCCGTGCTGAAACCAGTCATCTGTTTCCTGGGATTTGCTGGTTCACACCTAACCCGCGGGGGGTGGAGTGACCTAACGCTGCTGTCCGCGTGGCTGCTGTCTTCTAACCATCTGCATTCTTTCCATGTCACCCAGAGGAAACAGGAGCTGTGCGCCACAGTTCTGTCTTAAGCCCTGAGAAACTCTAAAGAGGTAGCGGATCAGTCAGGAATGGAATGGTTCTTGGTTAAAAGACGCACAGCGCTGTCTGTAAATCACTGGGTACGGGGGATGTCTGTGTACCCCTGTTGCAGATAAGAATGGTCTGTGACCCTCTTGCTTTCTTGTCTCTCTCGTACTTTGCTGTCATCTAGAATTTTTGGATTTGCTTTTATGTTTTCATTTATGTTGTGAAAATCTTTTGTGTTTTTGACCACATAGGCCAAAGCCTCACTGTTTCAATTGTGGCTCTGAAGAACATCAGATGAAAGACTGCCCCATGGTAAATTTCTCTCATCTAGAAAATGTCTTTGAACCAGAGCTTGTCTTTTACCCGTTTATGGAACTTTGTGATGGGAGGAGACTTCTTGTGTTACTCGCCTGTTGTCCTCTAACCTGAAAGCTTCGCAAATTTCTGTGTGTTTTAAGACATTGGGTCTTTTTAAAACAATAATTTGTTATAGTACTATCAGTATTTGAGATGAATAAAACATCATGAGTTAATGTTTATACAGCTTATTCTAAAAATTGTATTTATTTATTTATTTAGATTTTTGCGGATTTGTTTTTCTTGACTGGGATTTAGGGCATGGGATGGGAAATGTCACCTTGGGGCACGCCCCACTCCTACCCCTCAGGTAATACCCATTCTGATCTTCCTGGGATGTCCTTGAAGCTTCTTCTTTTTCCTGGCACTGCCCTTGCTGGCAGCAGCCTCAGGCCCACTGCTGACTGGCTAAAGTTTGATTTTAAATTATAACACTGAGATGAAATTCAGGAAATTGAAAAGCAGGTGTGGTGGCTCAGGCCTGTAATCCTAGCATTTGGGAGGCTGAGGCAGAGGATCACTATGAGTTGGAGGCCAGGCTGAACTACACAGTGAGTTCAAGCCCAACCTGAACTACATAGCATGACCCTGTCTCAAAAAACAAAACAAAAAAATTGAGGAAATAAAAGTGCTTCTCTTGTTCACTTTTCAAAAATATCTATTTCCTTTTATGACAGTTTTATATTGAAACTAAAACAGAAGGAGGAAAACCAGCAAACGAACACACAGTTCACTTACCTAAAAGAGAAGGGATTATTTTTAATTCCTGAGATGTCTCTAAATCACTTAATACCTTTCTTTTTCAACATATTATGATTTAGCCCCGGAATGCTGCTCGAATAAGTGAAAAGAGAAAAGAGTATATGGATGCCTGCAGTGAGGCAAACAATCAGAATTTTCAGCAGCGATACCATGCAGAAGAAGTCGAAGAAAGGTTTGGAAGATTCAAGCCAGGTGTTATCAGGTACAGCCTTCATGTTACTGTGGGAGGTCATTTTTACTTTCCTAGTGTTTGGAATGTTCTGTATCTTTCCAGGGTAGTTACCAGGATGGAGGCAGTGTGTAGCAAGACCGACGTAATACACATCAAGTCACTCGAAAACAGTTATTGAAATCCTAACACTGTGTGTGCTAGGCACCGTGTTCCATCTATGTAAATAAGACTGAAATGTTTTCAACACCAGAACACGGCGTGTTCTCAGGCAAAAGGGAATCCAGTATATTTTTTCTCTTATTTTTATGTAGTGAGGAACTTCAAGATGCACTGGGGGTGACAGACAAGAGTCTTCCCCCTTTCATCTATCGGATGCGCCAGCTGGGATACCCACCGGGGTGGCTCAAGGAGGCTGAATTGGAGAATTCCGGGCTTGCACTTTACGATGGAAAAGGTAGAGTGTGTTAGGTTATCGAAGTCACCTTTACTATCACCTGTTGCCTTTATTTTTGCCTTGTTTGTTAGACTGCTTGAATCAAAATTCTTTGGTCAGAAGATGGTAGGTGATTAAAAGTCTCTTAAATCTCTTTCATCTATAATCCCTTCCTTTTTTTTAAACTAGTGCTTGGTTTGCCTTAAAGAGTTTTTGAGATTTTGCTGATGCCACCCGGAGGTGTTGGTCAGCTTGTTCCTTTTTCACTGTATTTACTCCCTGTAAATTGTAGTGGATCGGTCACTGGAGACAGCTGCCTCTACCTGTTAATTACTGATGGGTTGCAGAAGGCTAATTCTGATTCTTTCATTACTTCTCAGATTATTAGCTAATGTACTTACATAAAGAGAAAATTCTTACCAATTACCTGGTAACCTTATATAAGCAGACGCTATACAACAGGCAAAATAAATCCTTTGATTTATTTAGTAGTTTTCAAAATTAAATAAAGCAGCTCACAAATAATCCTTGAAGGGTTCCTCATCTGTATAAGATCTTGTAAAATATATTTTAATAGTAATACCTTTCAGTGTTGTCACAAAGATCACCTGAATTATCATTTGTAAAAATGAAGGACTGTCTGAAAAGGAAATACTGTCCGGCACACAGTGAGCACTACATAAATGTTTGTTAAATCGAAGCACTGGAATCTAACATTAGATCAGTTGTAATATTAACAAAATAGATTTTTTTTTGAGCCAGGGTCTTGCTGTGTATTCCAGGCTGGCTTTGAATTCACTTGTGAATCCTGCCTCAGCCTTCCTAGTGCTGGGATTACAGGCATGCACTACCACGCCTGGCTGAAAAGAGACTTTTAAGTAACCTATAGAAGTATTAGAGTTTCTAAGATTTTAAATATTTTAGTTTATCACAATAATATGTTCGCGTTATTTTAAAATTATCATTATTATTACTATTTTTTCCTTTTTTTTCTGGTACCAGGAATCAAACTCACGACCTTGCGCTTGCCAGGCAGGCGCTGTGCCGCTGAGCTAAATCCCCAGCTCTGTTGTTTTAAAATTCTAATCTAATGGTTTAGAAAACTTACAATTAAAGTCATTCCCAGACTAATTCTGTTGAAATGAGTGTAAGCACTTTCCATGTGCACTTTGGTTGGGGAAGGACATACATGAGTCTCTAGCAGTAACACTGTGATGGTCTGTAACAGATGATGCTGACGGAGAAACGGAAGTTGGAGAAATACAGCAGAACAAAAATGTCACTTATGATCTCTCAAAATTGGTAAACTACCCAGGTTTTAATATATCAACTCCCAGAGGAATCCCAGATGTAAGTATTTTTTATTCTTGTGGAGTGTGATGTTATGTTACAGATGAAAGTGTTATATAGCTGTTGTTATTATATAGAGAAGAAAGTTTTTTATGCTCAAGGCCCTGGGACTAATGCTCAGTACTGCCAAAAACAAAAAAAAAAAGCCCAGCATGGTGGTGCATGCCTATAATCCCAGCACTCTGGGAGGCTGAGACAGGAAAATTGCTAGTTTGAGCCCAACCTGGGCAATTTAGCAAGACCTGTCACAAACATTAAAAAAGGAATTTATGAAAAAGGGCTGGGAATGTAGCTTAGTGCAGAGCATCTGGGTTTAATCCCTAGTACCTCAGAAAAAGAAGAGGGGGGAAAAGTAAATTTGTTGTTTGCATCAGTTAACTTTGATTTGTAAATGTTACAGAATTACTTAGTTGAGAAGTAACTTTCTATCTGTGATTGACCTAAGAGTCTGAGCTGGGGTTGGGGGGCACCCCTGTAATCTCAGCACTCGGGATGGGGCATGTTCGAGACCAGCCGGGATCACATAGTGAGACCCTGTCTCCAAAAAAATCTAAGATTTTTACAACTGTTTTGCGTGTTTTTGTTACATTTTTCTCATGTTGAAGTTTCTCATTCTGTTTATGAATAGTTTTTCACACTTATTCTGGTATAGTTTCCATCTTCTGTGTCAAAAATCAGCAGTTAACTATTGTATTTTTGCTGTTTTGTTTCTTTTTTTTTTTTTCTCGTTTTGTTTTGTTTTTGTCTTTTTGAGGCAGGGTCTCATTATGCAGTTTAGACTTAAGCTCACTTTGTAGCCCAGGCTGGCCTCGAACTCACAATGATCCTCCTGCCTCAGCCTCTGAAGTGTTGGGATTACAGGCGTGCGCCACCACGCCCAGTTCCTGTTGTTTTAATAAAAACTACATTTCTGCTATGTTAAGGGTCTGGGCGTTAGGGAAGAGGTCAGAGATCTGAGCTTATTGTCTAGTGAACAGATACAAAGTAATGAGCTCCCACAAGACTGTGGAACTCATTAAGGGTTCAACTGCATGGTGAAGACCATTATTGCTTCTGGAAGTGGATCGGAGTACCAGGTGCCATCAGGATCCCCTGCCAGTGCTCAGTGGAAATGCCCACACTTGCTGGGTGTGGTGGCGCACCCCTGTAATCCCAGCACTTGGGAGCCTGAGACAGGAGGATCACCAAGAGTTTGAGGCCAGGCTGGGGCTACACAGTGAGGCCCTGTATAATAAAAAAAGAAAGGACTGTGCAGCCTTAGACCTATCTTAGACTCTTGAATTTCTTTTCTTTGCTTTTCTTTTGCAGTACCAGGGATCAAACTCACAACCTTGCACTTGCCAGGCAGGCGCTTATGCCACTGAGCTATATCCCCAGCCCTAGACCCTGACCCTGTATGTTCCCTTTGAGTGTGCTGTTGGAGAGGAGTGAGAGGCAGCTGTGGGCCTTAGGGGTCAATACCGTGGGAGCGGGAGGAAAAGATTGAAAGCTGGGTGGAAGGGTCTGAGGCTCAGGGAGTGCTGAGCCAGTTCTGGCCCTGCAGGGCTGGTGGCTGAGAGCCCACAGCCGTGACCCTGCCCACATGGCCTGCAGCAGATGGAACGTGTGGAGCCAAGCAGTTATGTCCAGTAACTGTGGCGTCTTCAGTTCTGATCATTGTTCAGCATGTTTTGTTTTCTTCAACAGTTTTTTTCCTTAGTCTGCAGTTAAGGAGCCGTCACCAAAGAAGCAGAGGTGTCGTTTGAGATCCCCACTTGGACTCCTTTGAGCAGAACCTCAGGTGCTGTCTTCTGAGCACAAACCCTTCTCTTCTCCTCTCCCTGCAGGAGTGGAGGATCTTCGGCTCCATACCGATGCAGGCCTGTCAGCAGAAGGATGTGTTTGCCAGTTACCTTTCTTCCAACTTCCAAGCGGTAAATAGATTCTAAGGGTGTGGGCTGGAAACCGGTGCGGCCTCTTGCTCAGTATCTAAAGCGCTGCCGCCCGATGAATCAAAGCGCAGGAGGAGGTGAACTCGCAGTTACCCGGCCTTGGCCCCAGGCTGGCTTTCTGCTGCACTGGGCTTGAATTCCCTGTCTGCCCCTAACGTGTTCACTTTGGTCACTCTTGCAGCCCAGCGCTAAGTCCAGTGGCAAGCGGTCTTCATCGCAGTCCAGCTCCAGTAGCCCAAAGAAGCAGAGGAGGGACGGCAGCTCCGCAGCCTCCCCCGCCGACATGGAGCTTGACTCGGGTAGGTCTCTGTGCGCCACTGCGATGTCTCTGTGAAAGCGGGACAGACTTCCGCGCCTGTGGGAGGGCAGTGCGCCTATATTCTCGGGGACTGGGGATGGGGCATTGCTAGCACTTGGAAAGCTCAATTGGAACACCGCTCAGCCAGGAGCAGGGCTCTGGGAGAGGCGGTGGAAAGCCTGTAACCTTGTGACAGTGCTGGCCCCAGCGGAGAAAGGGCAGAGCTGAGCCAGGCTTTGCCAGGCACCTTCTGAGTTGTAATCCCATGAGCCACTGCTCCACAGGGAAGTCTGCCCAGTCAGCCCAAAAGGAGATGGCAGCTTTGCCCTCCGATACGCCCCTGCCTTTGCTGTCTTCGCCCTGTGCACTTCCTGTGGCACCGCAGTGGGCCAGGCTAGTGACAGCACTCAGCAGATCAGGAGGGCAGGACAATCCCACATCCACCTTTCGGGGGCCGCCTTCCCAGCACCCACCCCACTGCCCAAGTTTCCCTTAGGAATTCTGACACATAATTTAGATTTTTGCACCCAGAAAACCCTGGGGTGGATGCAAACTTTGTGTTAATTAGATAAATTCCAAGGCCACTCCGAATCCAAGGCTGAGGATGTGTTCCTTATTCTATTTCCCATCCTGAATTATGGCTATCTCCTTTGTCCTGTATAGCCTGTCAGATGTTCTGAAGTCAGATAAAATTTTTTTTTTTTTTAGTCAGATGAAATTGTGACACAATAAAATACATAAAGAATCCCAGCACTGAGGAGGCTGAGGCAGGAGGGTCATCGCAGTTCGAGACCAACCTGGGCTACATAGTGGGTTCAAGACCAGCCCCAAATCTACATAGCAAGACTCTGTCACAAAACAAAACAGAAATGCATAAAGATAATCTAATGTAGGCTAGGGGGTTGGCTCAGTAGTAGAGCATTTATTTGCAAGGCCCTTGGTTTAGTCTCTAGTACTGCAAAAGAAAAAATACTCTTCATAATAAGATACCAGTGATACAAGTTACCTCAAATTCGATGTAACTCACTTTTTTTTGGTATCAGGAATTGAACTCATGACCTTGTGTTTGCCAAGGAGGTGCTGTGCTGCTGAACTATATCCCCAGCCCTTCAAATTAAATTATCCCTACTCTCATTTTTAAATTCCCAGGGACAATTTAAAAATGAAGTCACCTTAAAGTTAAAAAAAAAGTAGCGAGCAGTGGTAGCACATGACTGTAATCCGAGCACTTGGGAGGCTGAGGCAGGAGGACTGTTAAAAATTTAGAGCCAGTCTAGACTACATAGCAAGACCCTGTCTTAAAAAAAAGGAAAAAAGTTGGATTGTTTTCCACAAGTGACTTCAAAATCCATAATTAAAGCTGCCAAATTCCTTCCTCACGTTTTTTGCTCTGCATTAGGAGTCCTGGGTACCTGGCAGCCTTCAAGCCTGGGCTTAGCACCCACAACCTTGCTTCTGGCGCTCTCCTCTCTTCTGCCAAGGCCAGAGGGTGGGCAGAGTACATACTTGTCACGGGCGTTGCCACATACCCATGAAACTGTGGAAGCAAACAGTTCTCTCAAACCCGAAGCAAGGGCTGGAGAGGTAGCTCAGTGGCACAGTGCCTGCCCGGCGAGTACAAGGTCCTGAGTCTGATTCCCGGCACACACAAAAAAGGGCCCTAAGCAGGCATCCCACACGGCGTTCCCAGAGCCCAGCTCTTTTCACTGTTAGGAGAGCACAGCCCGAAGGCGGGATGCATCTGCGAGGTGGAAGAGCTGCCCTAGTTCAGTCCCAGCTTCACGCAAGAGAGAGAAAAGCCAGGGACAGAGACACATGTCTGAAGTCAGCTTTTAGGGAGGCGAAGGTGGGAGGATCACAAGTTGAAGCCCAGACAGCGCAGTTCAGAGAGACCCGGTCTCTAGAAGTGTGCGGGGCTGAGAGGAGGGCCGCACCCTCGCGCAGTCCTCCGCGGCGCTCACCACTCGCGCGCCGGGCCCGTAGTCCTCCGTCTCCGCCGGCAGCTCTGGTTTCATTTTAGAGTAAAAAGACGCACAAAAGCGATCAGATCCGTTCGTACCACCGGTGGCCCAGGCGCCCTTCGGGACGTCCTGCGCGTGCCCGCGGTCGGAATGTGTTTAAAGAAAGGAAAAGCGCAGCATGGCCAAGACCAGCCCTCGCGCTCTGAGTGAGGGCGGAGGTGACAGCTCGAGGCTGCGGCGTGCCGGCGCCACTGCCTTCCCTGCCTTCCTCACTGAGCGGCGCTGCTTGTTTTCCGTGCAGTGAAGTTCAGGATTTCATGGGGCTTTCCGTAGGGTTCAGGATTCAGTTGGATTTTGCACATTTTTTAAGCCTGCGGTGTTTCAGGCCCCTCCACCAGACCCTGGACAGGAAGGTTAGGGACCGCACCCTGCTGTCACCTAGGGAGCACTTCGGCGCGGCGCAGGATCAGCGGTGAGACACGTTGCCGCCACAGAGCTGACAGGCCCGCTGTGGCGCGGAAACCGTGCTGAGGAGCGGATTCGGGGCCGCCAGGGACGGGGGAGGGGAGCCGGGCCGACG